CACCTCTGCTGCTCCAAAACACTGTTTTGGCTGCTCCAAAAGCCACTTTTGCTGCTCCAAAACACTCTCTTGGCTGCTGCAAAGGCCACTTTTGCTGCTCCAAAACACTGTTTTGGCTGCTCCGAAAGGTGCTCCAAAACGGGTTAGGCCAATCGCATCACCGCAGTTGTGAAACCTTCAAGGTAATAGTGAAAAAAAGATATTATGTAAGGCCTGTTTACACATAGAACCACAGCTCTACATTAGGGCTATTAGTCAAGACCTGGGAATACAGTGTAGACCGCATATAACGTAAAACGCGGGAGTCGCGAAAATCTGCACTATAAGCGGTACCGCGTTATAACGAAAACATCAATTTTTCAGGCCAAAATACATGCCATGAGACAACTTACCTTAAAAAAAAAAAAATTTATTTTATGTTAGTCGAAGAGGAGTCTTTATTTCACCAGACTAGTACACTTCTCTTTTAAGTGTGTCAATTTTGAAAGAAATGAGCGACTTTTGCCTGGCGCAGCCTTTTAACGGCGTCGCTGGTTGCGGACGGACGTTGCAAGCGTTAGGATTGCTAACCCTAATCACTTTTTTCCGGTGATGAAGACGCGTGAAAATTAGCATCCTTTATACGGTACGCGCCAGTAATACCTTCAACTTTAGCACAGGCGTGAAATGCTCCAGATAAGAAATCCGGGCGATGTTCAAAAACACAAATGCTTAGAAAGCACCACTGTAGTCGAAGTAAACAAACACAACGACACGGGCGTTTCTGCCGTCTTGAGAGTGCCGCCACGACATTGCCGCACGAGTAGGTGGATCTCCCCTTCTAGTACGTGCTGGGTTATCATAGCGGCACACAACGAAAATTCACAGTCAAGGATAGTGCTTTTGCGTGGAACGATCGCAACCGACGCCATGTTTGCGGATAGAAGCCGGCCCGCGACTGACATGCAACGCGCTCTAACAGTTCTCCCCAACCTGCAATTGGTCTGTCGTTGCGGTTGTTTCCAACGCACGCACGTGAGCGACACGTGCGTGCGTCCCTTTGTCGGTATGGCAACTGAAGCCTCTCTCTTCGCTTCTTGGAGCCACGACTTCGAGCAACCTCTTTGCCCCGCGAGTGCCGCTTGCGGCTAGCCAGGCTAGCGCCATTATCTAGTGTCGCACAGGGAAGCGTGCTGGCTGCGCAGGGCAATCGGCGCGCTGTTCCAGAAACCGCACTATAACCAGTATTTCCCTTCGCGCCTGCATTTTAAGTGGTATGTAATTACATGGAGTTCTATGGGAGGCGAACCGGTGGTTTAAAAAAGTCTCGTTATACCCGGTCCTGCACTATAAGTGGTTACGTTATAAGTAGTCTGTACTGTAATGCTGATCTTGTTTATGCAGTCTTACATTTGTCCTACACCAGTGATACAGTGGTGAATTAGTGCTAAATTAGGTTCATCAGCTCTGTGCTGTACATGTGTACCAGCCTCTAAAAAAAATTTTTTTTGTTCATGTTAAATTTGTTTTTTACCTGCGTGTCCCTCCTACATTTTCTTTTTTGAAGGTCCCTTTTAAGTTAAAGGGACACTGACAGCCCCCAAAATTTTTTTTTATTTTTTGCCAGGCACTTCATTATGGTGTCGGAGGACTACCCAATTAATATTTTGCAACAGAGTAGCGTATTTGTTTAATATAGCCAAAAGACGCAACTGCTCGAAATCGAAACCGAAACCCGACGGAGGTCGGAGAAGTGGAGAGAAGAGAGTGAGTGGCGGAAGTCACGTGGCTACACCCGACCGTGCGTTTTTGTTTTTGTTTTCTCCTCTCCATAGCAGACGACACGACATGCGGTGTGCTATGCGGCGTGCGGGAACTGCTCGCCGTGCGATTCTTTTGCAGTTATGTTTGTTCCGCTCGTTGTTTTGTACTCCAAGATGAGTTGTTTTGTACATTGAGGAGTTGGAGGATGAGTAGTAGGTGCCCGTGGTGAATTTCCATGATCGGCTCCAAAAAGAATACACCCAAGATGTTGCGTGAAGAGCTGGCTCACATGTCCTGCATCCGAAAAAAAGTGGCATTGTGCGACAGAGTTTCCGAAAGATCAACGGGATCGGGACCAATGGCTGGCTGCAATTCCTGTAGAACATATACGGGCACCTCGGAAAGCGGACGCTACCTGATTTATATGCTCCTCGTATTTTGTGGAAAGTGATTACATTGAGTTCGCAGGTGTCAAAACGGAAATCCCATACCATTTAATTAAGCGAAGTATCGTCCACAACTTTTGTTTGTTTCTTCAGTGATGATTGTAAAAAAAAAAGAAAAAGATATGTAAACATCGGAAAATGTTAAAAAAAAAAAAATAGAGCTACACGAGGGATCGATCCCAGACCTAACGCGTGTGAACCGGACGTCTTTCCCACTGAGCTACTGGCACATCTCACTTCTGGTGGATCTCTTTTCTTAGTAATAATTCAGCCGGTAAACTGTAAGTTGGAAAGTTTGCTGTCGATTTTTCTCTAGCAAAAGCACTCCCGGGTCGAAGTCGGGAAGCACCACGCTTTGGGGACATTCGCACGTAGTAAAGAAATCGTACGCGTGCATATTCAACTCGAAGTAGACACGTCGTGCTTGACGTTTGCGCGAGCGATGTCTTCAGCCACGAGAAGGGAGCGACGGCTCGGCGACGTCTTCGTGCAAATCTGCTTGGTGGCCGGGCGTGTCGTACGGGATGAATACCAATTCTTTTGATCAGTCCCAAATTTCTCTTTTAACGGTAGACAGAATTCGCCGGTACCGCAAACGACAGTTCTGAAATAGAGGTCCCATGCCCGTCGTCCGCTGCCATCGCCGTCCCCGCGAGTCCCACGATACGCGAAACGACGAACGCACAGAATGCTTCCGGTTGTCTGTGGAACTTTTTTTATCAATCAACGTATTTACAGCTTTTTAGAAGCCACAAAAAATGGGTTTCATATTTTTTTTCTATTTTTAATATTGAGTGTGTGCCTTCAGTGACCCACGACTTTGATTAAATTTGGTGGTCGCATCGATACCTTAGAAAACGGCCCGTGACCGCGGAAAGGAGAGTGAGCGAGACTCGAACCGGCCAGTTCTTGATCGGCGGTTTTTGGGCGGAAAGAAACCGAATTTTGAGCCGCAAATTCTGTTCTGGGTAGTTGAGCTCTCATATGTCACGTACAACTAAAAACCTTGGCGAGCATAAATACCCTGTCAGTGTCCCTTTAAAAAATAAAAAAAAGTGTGCGAGGAAAGGCGGTCACTCTTTGCAGAGAAGCACTGGTATATGCGTGGTAAGACGCGATTACACGACTGGGGCTTCTACTTTTTTGTGGCTTGTACGTTTTGAGTTTCCTTTGCCCAAAGAATGTTTTCCACTCTTTTCGTGCCAGACAAGAACACACTTTCCCAAGGCAATTGATGCCCCTACATTCTTTATTTTTTGTAGGGACAGCAGGTTTGGTGACGCAGAACACTCTAAACCAATCTCTGATAAGACTCAGGTCTTAGTGTAAAGAAATATTTTCTCCCAAATTGGCACTCCTTTTCTGAGAGAGTAATTTTTTTCCTGCCAAACATTCCATAATGCACTTTGTAGAATTACTCACTTATTCCCTTCGCTCTGCGATAACTCACGCTTGAGAGCCCCCTCGACAAAAATATAGATCCGGACCCACGGATATCCGCGCCTGTAGCCCATGACATCTGCATCCAATTCACAATCCGCCAAATCTAATTTATTTTTATCCGCACCTGCCAGTTCACTGGGCATAACCGTGGGTAGTTCTTGGGCATTTGGCGCATCCGCAGTGCTTTACTCATGAAACTTCAGTACCCCCCCCTCCCCCTTGGAAGTTTAGACCGTATGCAGTGGAACATTCATTATACAACATTTATGGGAACGCGCGAAAGTGTCAAATAATGAACCCGGAGTCGTATTACCCAAAACGACAATAATTACAGCACTTTGAGAAACCTGCGCTAAATTATAGTAAAATGCAGGACGTTGAATAAACTGGAAATGCATAATCAAGGTTCCACTCGATATGCAGTTTTATGGGCAATTTCATTTTGCCTATTACTGGTGCGATGACTTACACCAGAACATGCACCCATACTGTAAGTGGAAAGTAGCGTATTATTACACAGCGTACTGTGCTAATTAATATTGGGAGGGGTGAGTGGGGACGTAAATTATTTTTGGCTGTGCTACTGTACCTCTTTACAAGATCTAGTGTGCCTTGTGTGGACTTTCAGAAAATGGGTCTATTGATGCAGCAATGCAATTGGAACCGTTCAATATTTTTTGGTGTTATAGGGACTGGATCTGTTTATGTTATGCCTCTGTGGTTGCAGCCTGTAGAAGGGGTGGATGCAAGCTGAGTGATATAGCCCTCAATATGATAGAGATTCAAGTTTTAGGGCTGTAGGCTGTGGAATAAGCATTGCCAAAAAACCTCAAACGAGGAAAATGACTTTAGCGTTGACAAGGAGGCTGTCATGTTACTAACATGCTGCGCAATGATACGTAAGGTGGAGCAAGCTGCGTGGCTCGGACAACCTGAAATTGTGCAATGTCTCTTAAGAGTGAGCTCCTGTGATTAATTTCAACCAGACGAGACATATATATGTACCTAGCAGAGCTTGCATTCAAATTTGCCACTTGACAGAGGCACGTGATTGTTTATGTCGTTTGCACGGAAATTGACTGAATATCATATTCAATCTTGGTTCGTACATAACATGCTTAACTGCATGAAGCAAGTGATAGATGTAAGGGACATACTTTAAACCTACTTTAGGTGGACAACATCTCTGTACAGCATCTGCTCTCTTCCCCATATTACAACTAATGCACAGAGTATATAGAATGTGCACTAAAGCACAGGTTACATTGATATTCTTGACAGGCATTAGATACCCAGAGGTTTGATTTTTTTTCTTTGGTGTTCTGCGTGCAGGCAATTAATTGTGTGTTTTTTTTTTTTTTTTTCTAGAAGCCGTGGTCGCAAGGCACCCATGACATTGAAGTCTTCCAAACAAGGCACTATGAAGGCATGACTTGTAGCGGCACTGGAGCAAGCGACACGGTCCGGGTGAGCCGCAAGTGTAACTGTTACACTGTAAACAGGAAATATAGACATGTGTCCGACAAAGCACAGACTCATAAAACTTTCATGTAGCAATAATAGTTTAATTTAACTAAACAGTGCATCAACAGAGCCTGACCCAAGAATGGGGAATGGACTTCTCCCAAAACCGACGCGCCCCATCGCGGCAAAATACCACGCAGTGCACTCTGGGAACTAGTTGGCCACTCAGTTTCGGTTTCGACTGAGCAGCTTCATCTCATGCTATCACGCCGCGACCGAACGCGCTGCTTACGTTTTCGATTATCTGACTTTTCACGAATGTACAATACTCTAAGCATTCTCGAGCGATATAAAAGGAAAATCGGGGCACTTTCCTTGGTTCCCGAAACACCGGATATTGTGCGTGCGTATACGAACGTAGTAAGTCGTAGCTTAGTCACCTCACCCGACGAGTGCATCTTTGAGCTCAATGTCAGTAATCCCGTCTAGTACCAGTGAACTGCAACTGAAACTTGTTCGTCTGGAGCCTTACACGCATTTTGTTTGCCAAACGTCCGCTTCTTGTTACTTCATTGGGCGAAAAGCAAGCCGCATCCTCATGGGGCATCAAAGTTGAGGCCAGCGTTTACGCATGAACTTTTAAGGAAACGCCATAAATTCAACCTCACTACTGCACAAACGTTACTATGATGTCTTCCTCGTGTCATCATATATCTCCCACTAGAATTTTATGCTGATAGAAGATTAACTTTCCGCAAACACTGAGATCGGCTATCTACGACGGAGGCCCTAACAAGCGTCCACTACTCCTCGCTAAGCCTTTTTGGACGAGTTTTTACTGACGCCCGAGATCTATGCCGGGAACGGTGTGTCTGAAATTATCTCCGCATACTCAGGCAAAAAGAAAGCAAACACATAACAAATATTATGGCCATTAGCAACCATCAAATGCGCTTTGAATTCTTTCCAGCACTTGTCTGAAGAATGTCGCACCGTGCGCCGGACGGGCATGAACCTCAATGCGGTGCGCATGGGGGTTCATGCCCGTCTGACGCACTTCCGGCGAACGGTGCGACATTCTTCACACAAGTGCTCGACTTTTGCATTCTTATGCGCGAATTTGCCTATATGATTGCAGGATAACTTTATGCGCATACGCGATGTTGAATATTAGAGGAATGCAAGCGGGTGGATACTTCACTTCGTGCAGTGCTGCGGGTCAGTAAAGATAAGAGATATAAGAAGTGTGTTAAAATTGAGCTTTTCAAAGGCACCTCCGAGTTTTGACCTCGCGTACTCAGGCACATTAAGAAAAACAGTAATTGCAAAAAGAAATATTTCGTCTATGGACGCACGAAGCAAACAAACTTCCTGATCAACAACACTAATGTAAAGGCGCGAGCTCGATATATGCATACTTATTGTTTGCTACAGCTTGTTGATTCGTACACAAGCAAGATCCCCGAGCACCCGAGCTTCGCAGCGTCGAGACTCCCGGCACTGGCTCGTCCACATACCTCGATTGGAACGCTAACAGGAAGGCTCAAGTACAAAAATACAACAAGTATGTGTTAAGACTAGCAATACATCTCGGGCTTGTGCGAAAGCTTCGAGGTCTGACCATTTAGGTTAGTTTAGAGACCACAAATGACGCACTCGGGACCAGAAAACAATCTCTTGTCGACGTGTCGATCGAAACCGAAACCGTGCACCCGCCTCCCTGGCCAACTAGTTCCCAGAGTGCAACGCGCGCCGTGTTGCATGCAGGGCTTTATGGAAGTTGTCTATTGGGGAACCGGCCAATGTGTAGAGTCTAACAGAAACAAGGAAGGCGATAAAAACAAATGGGGCAACATGTTAAGATAGGACAATAATGTCGTGCCTATTTTTTGTTTTCAATTAAGATTTTATAGGAGCTAGCAAAATATGTCTTTGCAATGGAATAGACCTACTTTTACAAAAAGACCTACAATGTTTTTGTTAAAATAAATTGCGTCTGAGGAGGTGGAAATATGATTTTCCCAATTGCGCATTAACATATCTTCGAGCTCCACAGGGTAATAAAACTTCCCGAAACGTAAATATTTTTATGCATGCTCAGAAGTTTTTTTAAATATAGAAAAAGTCAAACAATTTTTTTGTGAGAATTCAAAGATATTGTCATCCTCAATTTTTTTTTTTCATTTTCGTTATTGAACACTTAGAAACATGTAATTCAGAATCCACCACCAAGACCTGTTGTATTCTATTGTCTTAAAATAAAGAAATAACGGTTTTGCCGAGTCTGTTGCAGTCAATTTCTGTTGGAGGTGCTGTGTCTCAACAACTAGTGGTTACTCGAGCACCGTATCCACAGTGGCCATAGTTGGTCGCATTATCTCCCAGGCACCACAAAGCATCATACAAAAAAATGTTTTTTTATTTATATTTTTTTTTTATCTGTGATGTGTCTGGTAGTGCCTATGGAAACTGAACTTTGTGGTGCATCAGTCCTCGGGGTGCTGTGCTTGGTTGGTTGCTCTCAACTGTGCTAATTTCTCGAAGTAGTATTTTAGTGCATGTAGGGAGTTGACAAAATGATTCAAATAATTTATCTAGAAGTCACTATACTCCGTTTGTAAGTGCAATGGATTGTAGCGGCCGTTGCCAGCTGTCTCGGGCAACTTAGCGCATCAAGTGACAACGCATCACAGCGCCTCTCTCCGAGGTCACTACATTGAGTTGACTTGTGTGGCCTGTAGCATGGTCTGTGTTGTATTGTAAGGTATAACGAACATATGAACAGGAAACATTATGAATTTTATGCCCCAATTGATGGCGGGCATGGCGAGGGTAAAACAATAGCAGGCTGTGTCTAAAAAGAAAATGATAAATGGACGAAGAAGCAGAAAGCTAGGCAGTGTCATTGGAGCAACATCATGCCTTCGCGCAAGTGGTGACTCTGGTATTTGTAATACCGTTGCACACTGGCTGATGTTTACACCACACAACTGAAGGCTGAACTCTCTTAACACCATGGTATTGGGTCATTTCAGATGAAACTGAGTAGTAGGTAAATGGTTGACATTTTTTTATTTGCTTGATATTTTATATGTCATTCCCTAAATTATAGTTTACACCAGTTCATATTTACGAACTGTAGCGCCACTGGCGCCGCGCATGCGCGATGGAGTGTGGGCGAGAAGCTCGCCGTCGCCCATAAACAAACCATTGGAATGCGATGTTGTCGTTGTCGGTGTGAGTCCCCCTGCCCTTTTTGGCGTTCGAATTGGTGATTCTACGTCGTTTTTGCGATGCCTGACTACTTGAGCGGCCTCAGGGAGATTACCGAGGCTCGTTACACCGCAAAACTTCGCGTGAATAATGTGGCATGCGGCGATTCATTCCGCGTGGACGCCGCAGAATGTACGCTAAAGCCTGATTCGCATGATGAGATTTCGCTTGCAATTTTCAGTCGCGAAGTCACTCGGGCTGCAACAGCGTGAACCGTAGCTGAGATGGTCGACGCCGATACTGAAAATCGCAAGCAGAATCGGACCAAGTGAATTAGGCATAACAAGTTGGTGATGGCCACTGGTAACAATGATGAACATCTTTTTGTATCTACTGTTTACATGAAGCCTGCTTACCAAGTTTCAAATTTAAGTCTTTTGAGGGCTGCACTTACTTCTTATCGCAAGTACGGCATCAACATTTGATGTTCGGGCCGGTGTCTTCTAAAAGAGCAGACAAGCAGAATTGTCTGAGACAGCATACGATAGTTCGAATGATCAGGCGGCCGTTTGAACTTGAAGACGCACTGAACATAGTCATTATACAATGGTCGGTACAACATGACGGTTTTTTGGCATTCATGTGGGAACAAAAGAATAAATTGATGACCACCAGTATTCGTGAATTCAACCCGAAGTGCTTCCCGCCCAAGCAGATGTGGTCCGACGGCATCTGGTTTTCCCTTTTCACGGCACATATCCACGTTCTCGGACGAACCGAGCACATGAAAACTAACCTTCAAACCTTTCTAGACTCTTTTAGTACAGCCCCAGTCGTGATGTTTTGACGAGAAAGCGGGTTTTTGTCAGGTTCCTTTCAAAACAACGCAGGAATACACGTCTCGCACGGGGACTTCCGCCTACAGCCCCAGACCGGAATTGTGCCCGAAGCGCCACCACCGCACTGTGACGTAACAGAGATGAGTTTGTGTATGAAGGAATACAAAAAACACTTTTGGATAAAAAACTAAATTTCTAGACACAAAAAGGTGTAGATTATGAAAAGCTAGGTTGTCACTTGCATTCACGAGCATGACTGATGTGATCAAGTTTGATGTGAATACCTTAAGTAATAGTTTTAGGCAATTATAGGCTAGAGTACCCAAAAGCCTTGCGGAGGCAAAAATAGCGTCGTCACCAGTGCGCATGTGCCAAGCCTAGACCTTGTCTGGATTGGCGCATTACGACGATGCCATTTCTTTGAAACGCACAAATTTGGACACATTCTAAAACTTGCAATTAGAAGTTCATTATTTTTGAGAAACAATGTCTGGGTTAGGCAAAAGAGGCCTTGAGAACATACGTTCATCATTCATGCTCCTTTTTTTTTCATACTTTATATTGAATACAAAATATTTGCATATAACGAGCAGATTTAAAAATCCTCTTGACTAGAATATCTGCAACAAATTTCTTGTTCAGATGCCGCAGTTTATAAATATGAGGTACGTATTAAAATAAGGACTTAGGAGAGTACAAGTGAAATCTCGGCAGCAACCTGCAGGGTTTCTATTTAAGTATCGTACAGTAGTGGAAGGCTTGTAAAAACTATAACAATATTAAATTCAAAACTATTCAACAGAAAAAAATATTCACTTTAAATTCGTTTTGAACTCAAAATCCACTATACGTCAAACTCGTTTACATCAAACTCGCAAGAAAACGTCTGCCAGTTCCATATAGCGGGTTATTCAATTAGAAGTATTAATGAATTTGACTCTCAAAAATCCACTTTCTGCTGAAATATTACACAATGAAATAGTCTTGCATCTTCTGCTGCTTTTTCTTCATTGCATCCACAATAACAATATTTTTCTACGCTATCGATGGACTCCGAAATTGAGGCCGCTGCCTTCTATATTCGCACATTAG